ACCTACGAAGGAAGAGACATAAAGAGAGAGTGAGAAAGAGAGTTTAAGCAGTGAAATGGTTAGCTGTCTACAACTGCAGTTATCGCTCTTGATAACACATGGGTACAAAGCAAGAGTTAAACTGTACTTGCTTCAAAGTGTAATCAGCGTCAGACTATCTCTTTGGCAACCAGATAATTACTGAAACTGATTCACGTTTTGCTTCCTTCTTCATTAAGCCTTTATACATACGACTGAAATTCAAGGTTGATATATACCTAGTCAAATAATTACAGAGAAATTAAGAAAAGCAGTTCAAAGAACTTTCAATACTGACGAACTACAAGTTGTATTGTCTAAACTACCGATTTTGATTCCTCAATTGAAAGATGAAGTACCCAAACTAGCCACTTCCAAGTGGATCTACTACTTTAACCACACTTGTGGTGGAGCGAGCTATATTGCCCGTCGCCCTAGGAACTTGAGTTATCGTGTTCGCTCGCGAACATCTACCAGTGTGGTTACATAAAGGTGTAGTAAGAAGCATTAATAGCTCGATATCAAAACACCCGGTGGAAACCGGCTTCGAAGCCAGCATTGAAGAATCCTTCTCTAATATCATCTACCGGGTACCGAATAAATTGCCAAAAACATCGAGGTATTGCATGCTGGAAACAGTAGAGGCTATCGCGATTCGTGGGAAACAACCAGTGCTTTGTGTGCAAAGAAGCAAGTGCAGCGAAGTCAGTGAAGTCGGTCAGTCAGTGAGTTCTTCTAAACGGGTCAGAAACTTGGCAAGCGTGTCACGAAGAGTATTTCCAACAGCTAGTTACAGACTTTTATGAACAGCTGTCACCATTGGCTGACTGGCTGCATACTGAAGATGAATGGCCAGCCAGCCAGTCAGCTGGCTGGGAACAAATCAGCCAACCAAGAGCCGACTACTCACAGAATATGTAGGATACAATGGAGATGTATGGATTGGCCATACGTTCAAGAGGTCATTGAATTACATCGAGCGCAATGCAGGCCATTTCTCGAGTGACGAGTGGGTAATCGACGTGACAGTGACATGTAGGAGATAGTGTGAGTTGAAGGAGGATATGAGAGATGAGAGATTACGGAAACCAATGGAATAATAATATTTTTACAGAGTACGGCTTGTAACCTCACGCATAACCTTCCCTCTTTGCCGTGCTTACAATCAGCTTCGCGAGGTTTATGAGTGTGCCATTTGAGGATCGAACTCCAGACCTTAGAAATAGTTGGCGAGGATTCTGTCACTGAATCACAGACGCACAATGTAAACTTGTAAATTCATTTTGTCATGCCCCATCACTTTTAATTTGAAAGGATCTGATTAGTGTCAAGCTTGTTTATGGATTGAAATTAATTGAAAACAATGAGGTCTGCATTGATATTTTGTCCCATTTTACTGCTTTCCAGCAACATGCACTCATAACCGCACTAACTAGCGAACTCAGGACCATCACGTTAAAAGGCGATCCTACCGACCATCAGTCTGTGATCAAATATGAAACTAATCAGTTTCTGTCTACATATGAGAACCGCGCTACAGTCATCTTGATATTGCCTTCATTTTCTGTAGTTTCATTACTTGTTCGGAGTAACTTAATTGGCGGAATCGAAAGTAAAACTTCAGAAATCATTGGGGCACATCTGCCAAGTGTACTTTCCACTCGGTGTTATGATATTTTCACAGAATTGAAAATAAAGAACAGTATTTGTCACTTTACACAAAAAGCAACACTGAGAAGTACGGTTCCGAAAACTCTGCAACCGACAGTATAATGCAAATAACCATAACAGAGTTCAAAAAATAAGTCTTCACATTTAAACAGCTACTTTAGTGTCAAATTAATTTTTCATAGCCATTCGAAATTGTGTATCAACAACAAGAAAAAGGCTGACAGCATCAGATGAGCTCATTCGTGGATATTTTTAGTGGATTTCACTCTAAAAACAATAGAAAAGCCGATATACAGTAGGAAAACTTCAAGTTGTAAGAAGGCACAGTGGTTAGGACGGTCGCCGACCATGCACATGGTCTGGAGTTCGATCCCCGGACGACGCACACCTGATAATCAATGGTCAGCCTGCTAAATTTGGGCTATCGATTTCACATGCTGATTATCCCCTACCTGTAACGAAAATACTGTGTGGAATCAAGCCATAATAAAATTAAAAAATAATAAATAAATAATAAAGTAATGGAACTAGCTAAAGTCAAGTACTTTTAAAGTGTAAAAATGAATACTTTTGAAAATGAGTATTTACAGGTGAATTAAACCAAGGAGGTACTTTTAATTAAAGACTTTGTTTAAATAACTAGACAATTGGTGGACAAATATTATTAAATTCACATACTCATGAAGATTACAATGAGCACAGTTCAGTTAAGAATAGAAATTTAGAATAAAAAAAGTAGCCTTAAAAAACTGTCGTGTGTGTAGTTTTATACCGTTTAGGTTGTGGGCAGTTGACAGTATCTATGCTGTGATGAAAACTGACATCACACTATTCATCTACATTTTTTCTTCTTGACTTATGATCGGTGCAATATACTCACTGTCCTTGATCCTATGAGTACTGGCAAGTCACTCACTTGAGTGTTCCACAGATTTGTGGAACATCCCTTCACATATTGTAATGCGGTCTCCGTTAGTTTGGGTGCATTGTTTGAAGACGTACCATCACGTTCACGGTGGTGAAACTGTACTCCAACACCGGAGTACCTAGGCTTTATATTTCCCCTCTGATGAATGGTTTCCCTCATATTCCATATTGCACTGATAACTTTGGTAGGCTGAATACTGGCTTTGATCGCTTCTAAGCTCCTTCTTTCCCCATAATAGACTATTCACGGCTATATTCATCTCCAAAATATGCTTGTGTAGGTCAGTACTTTTCTCGACCAGAACTGCTGCTGTCTTCACATGTGTCTGGTCCCCAACAATCACAATTCGTCTAATTCTTTTCTTCGCATTCTAACCAGAAATACTAATTATTCCCTGCGATATCTGATGAATTGCAATTATCCTATTGCCTCCCTTCCCAATCGCACAGACAGTAGGACAATTCAGAATGAATAGCTCATGACGACATGGCTTGATGTGAGGTCCAGTAGGAATCGGTGGTGTCAAGACTGCTGGATTTCGTGATGGCTGCTGGCTTGAATTGAATGTTGGAGGAGTTTACTGATGACTGATAAGTCCAGGATGACAGGATTCAGGTTTACTTGGTAAATGACCAGGACACATGGTTATTTCTTGTCTTTGTACGATGGGAAACAGTAGCGTGTGCTTCAAACATCGACGCAACTTGTAATGATGCAGTCAGCAACTGTAGTTCAGCTTTTCTAAGCGATCAGATTAATTTGACCAATTGAAGTTAGCTTTGCATTTTCGCATAAGAAAAATTTTGAGTTGTCAGCTTTCTAGTTAATTCACGGAATGATGTCAGTAAGTCTGAGGTTCTTCATCAGTACTCATCCATGACTCCATCGACGGATTGAACCAAGGGCATTCAGGTTACGAGGTTAGGTGAGGTCATAGGTGTGTACTGTTGAAGAGTTTCAAAGTATTACGTGACACTTATCCAGTACTCCCTGGTTTTCAACAGTCCTGTTGTGGTGAGAGCTGGCTGCTAACCAAAGTTGGTAGACGGTAATTGACGTCAATGTTTATGTCCCCAATATTGGTAGTGAGAAAATGAGAACAAAGGCTTTGCGTAGGCGGATACAGTTAGCATGTGGATGATCTGACACAGCCACAAAGAGATGCAAGGTTAACTTTCTGTGAGAAACAACCAATCAACAGACTGTATTTTCTACTAACAATTATCTACAATAATGTACATTAAAATCTATAAATATGTTTTGATTTTCCTTAATAAACGATCTGTTGCCTGGCCCTTGTCTTCTGTTGTTACACTGTGACTGACATCACCACGTGATCTGTACTGGAAACAGTCAAATCCTTATAACTCGACACACGGAAATGCAAGTTTTTCGTTGTTTTTGCCAGACCTAAATAAATGACGTCTGTTGGTATATTGCTTGTTAGAATGGACATCTCTGAGACGTCTTTAATTTCGCCCTCAATGATTAACAGCGCATTTGAAAATCGTCAGTGAAAAGTTTATAAAACCCAGTGTGAATCATGGTTTGGGGGTATTTTAAACTGACGAATCTCAAGTAAGAAAAAATACGCGAGTTATGGATTCACCTGATAGCTACCGCCTAACAAATGGAATCGAACATTTGCATTAACTACCGTAATTGAAGAATTATTAACAAAATAAATAAATAGCATTACAAGTACCATACGGAATATATTATCATTTTTTGAATTAGCTCACCTAAGCAGCTAACATTATTAGAAGTTAATTGGCGGATGGTGACTAGCAACGGAATCCAGGATGCGCATTTCGTCTTATTTGGGACTCGTCATCTGGATGTCTACATTATTCTTTTATTTAATTATCGTGAGCAGAGAGAGAGACGGAATGCAAAGTTATTCACTCACGCATATATGGATTTAAATGTTTACAATGTTAAATTTCTTTTTCTGTACCTATCCATATTTCCAAATCACACCGACATGTAAGCTTTTTGTTTGAATTATCTGAAATAGTCGGACAGGCGATAACAATCAAAGTAGATCTGCTTCATATAACGATAAATTGAAATGTGACTGTCAATTTCTTCTTGTGTCACTGGAAAAAGAAACATCCCCTAATCAATAAACTTTGCAGTGTAGCTACTAAATTAAGAGAGAGACAGATTATCTTACTGCACAGTGTTAGATGTTAGGCAGGTGAATGAATGAATGACTGACTTATATCTGTCAGCATCAGAATGGTGAAATTTATTGTCGAAGAAAGTAACATTTTATTTTCATTCAACTGGCTATCAACTGGCTACACTCTTACTTCTCTAATAGGATGCAGTACACGGTATATAATGCCGTATCTTCCTCTCCTTTGCTCACTGAAGCTGGAGTTCCTCAGGGTGCTGTTCTCTCTCCGTTTCTCTTTTCCTTCTTCTTACATGATTTACCTCTTTCAGATGAAATCAACTTCGTCAAATATGCAGATGACCTGTCTGTATCGTTTCCCATTAAGTCTCAGTCAGACTGTTTCAAATTAAATAGCTTCCTGTCGGACATCAGTCAGTGGTCTAAACTAAATGGTCTCATACTGAATCCCTCAAAATGCCAGACTATTGACTTCTCCCTTAGGCATAAACGAGATCTACAAACACTGGTGAGTACTCATGAAGCCTGTTGCATTGAGGGGAATAAAATTGAAAGTAAGTCTAATGCAAAATACCTCGGTCTAGTTCTATCTTCCGACCTTACTTGGATATCTCTTATCCTAACGATTTCTAAGAAAGTGTCTGTCTAATCTACTACATTAAGAAACTTGGACAATCTGGAATCACCCAACCTCTACCTTCACAATTTGTCAACTCTCGTATCTTACTTATTCTACATAACTGCTCCCCGTTAGTCTCTCCTGGTCTACTGAAAAAGGACTATGACATCCTGAGAAGGATGTTGAAGGTAGTTAGTAGGACTAGTGGTGTAAAACTCAGTCAGCTCGTCACTACATTAGTAGAAAGGCATCTGAATACATGCTAAAAATGGTCTAAAACCATACTCTCCGACCCCCAACAGCCCCTCTATTCCCAACTCTCGCCTTGTATCTCATCAGGTAGAACCGGAAATCAGTATAAAACAATCTATGCTCTTACAACCAAGTACTGGAACTCAACGATATCACATTCGGCCCATGTTCTAAGCGACAGAGACAATGTTAAGTGTGAAACCTATGACTTGCTTTGTTGTTAATAACATAATTTTAGGCTCTTTTATTTCTCTCTTATTTTGTATTCTGTAGTGAACTCCTTCTTAAACATACTTAGCTACCTAAATTATTAACATTGGCTTACTTTTTGTACTCTATTCCTTCTTTTGTGTATCTACTGGTTCCGACTATATTAGCACTATGAGTATTACAAAATTGTCCTGTCATTAACCATCATGTAATTATTAGTTTTTGTGGTTGTTGTTGTTTTTTTTGTTCGGCAATATTATTATTATATGCAGTTTATTTTCCTTTCAACTTCTTGGTATTTTTTCGCATTTAAAAAAGTTATTTTGTGTTTTTCCTGTCTTTTTTTGCTGTTGGTGTCTTTATATTTATTTTTTTTGAAATACTCCTTTTAAAGGTTTGATAATATTAGATACAAATATTGTAGATATTGTGCTGAAAATTCCACACTGTACCACTAGTACTGTTTCTGGAATAAAGCAAATTATTATTTTTCCTTTACGTTCCCAGTGGAACATAAGGCTTGAAGTTACACTAGCAGTGGTATTAATTTGTATAGGATGGGCTTGCTAGCTTCATGTTCAACCTTCTTTCTTTACCAGTCTTATTACTGACTCAGTGAGGTAAAGGAGTGAGTTGGTGGTCGGGAATCGAAGCTGAACCCTCTGCGTGGTTGGCGAGTATTCTATCGATGTGCCTTTTTACTTAACTTACTTAGATATTAACAGATTTGTTTTATAAAGGTGTGCTCTGCTTGGAATGCTCACCCACAACAGTCAGCATTATTTTGAATAGAAGTGAATCTATTGAATACAAAGCGTATTCTCTGCTCGACAACTTAAAGTCAGTTAAAGTCTGGGAGTAGGGTGTGGATTGAGTTAGTGGAAATGTCAACAATTTCCTATCACACATCAACTTTAAATGTCATATGTAAACTTTTCTTGTCAGCTATCATAACTGTTTTCAACTTTGAATATCAGTTACATCAGTTTAGCATAAGGTTTTTTATTTATATTTTTTTTAAAAAAAACATTATTTTGCTAAGTAGCCGGTCCATTCTGTGTAACACATCGCATGCCTGACAGTGGGCGTAGACTAAAACCTCTATGCACTAGTTCGCTGAATTCAAATGAGAAGTTGGATTTAAACGGATGACTAGCTCAGTTGTTGATTAGATTGAAGTATTGCAAAGTGGAACAGTATTACTACTAATACTAATACTAATACTAATAAAAATAATAATAATAGTTATTATTATCATTATTATTCCTGAAAAGTTTATGCACTGTATACTTTTCAACTTAGCAGTAGTGGTGAGATTTATTTTTTCCTGTCTAGATTTTTAAAAAATAGGTAAAGTTTTCACATTAACAGACAACCATTTAAAAGAGGACTGATTTTTTCTCCCTAGACAGAACAGATGCATTTGTCTACCTCATTTTGAAAAAAAATTAACATTGTAGAATTAAGAGTTTACACAATCATTTATATCTGTATGTATATATATGTAGACATCACTGAATTAAAAATGGTATAATTCAAGTTTAGGCCACGAAGTTACTTTATTTGGAAAGTAGCTGGAAA